CTGTTCCTCTGCCAGGCCCTGCAGCTCCTACCTCTGTTACCCTCTGGATAAGTCACTTTGTCCTAGAACCTGGAAACTTTCTTTTAGACACATGACTGTGCTCATGACGTGAAGTGCTCGTCCTTATGAGTAAATGCAGGTAGATAATGAGCCACATCCTGTGGCGTCCCTGAGTCCCACGTGCTTATTAAACTGTTGCAGGAAATCAGGCGCACCTCACACTGAAAAACCTAACTTGGCAGTTCTGATTTCTTTATCTTTTGTTCCCTTGAGGGAATTTTTTTCTTTCTGGCAATAATGACCAAATGTATATTTTTCAAATTGTGTAAAAGCACACCCTATTAAGGCTTCCTACCATTCTGGAATTGTAGAGCATGTGACAGTCTTTTATTACTGTAAAATAATAAAGAAGTTACAGTTGTAAACCTCTGACATTCTAGAAACCAGCTGTTTGTGGGGGGCAGTGAACCTTGTTATAACCTTCCTTGAGTTGCTCTACAGTTCGGTCTGCCAGAGGCCGAAGTTAGATCCCATTAGTGGGCTTAAAACATCCATTTCTGAAAGAACAAACTGTGACAGGTTGCTGAGGGTAATTGACTTCTTTTGTTTTCTTGCTGTTACAGGAAGAGACATCACAGCTTTCCCAGATTGGGAGGAAAAATATGGAATGTGTTTTACCCCTGACTGAACACAACCAAATGAACTGCACAGACAGTAGTTTGAAAACCAGCAGTTAGCAGTTTGTTCAGCTCCAACATCACCCAGCACTTTCCAGAGCAAACTCCCTGTGTACAAGAACTGTCGGCCTTCTGACGCTTATAACCTCAAGTTCTGTTCATTTAAAATATTTCTGCAAAAGAGAAGCACCAGGAACTCACGTTCTGAAATGGCCATGGACGAGTATTTGTGGATGGTCATTTTGGGCTTTATCATAGCGTTTATCTTGGCATTCTCTGTCGGTGCAAACGATGTTGCCAATTCATTCGGTACTGCTGTGGGCTCTGGCGTGGTCACCCTGAGGCAGGCGTGCATTTTGGCATCAGTATTTGAAACCGCCGGCTCGGTGCTGTTGGGAGCGAAGGTAGGAGAGACCATCCGAAAAGGCATCATTGATGTGAACCTCTACAACGAGACGGTGGAAACGCTGATGGCCGGGGAAGTGAGTGCCATGGTCGGTAAGTGGTGCTGCCCTGCACACAGTGGGCAGGCATCCCCCACCTGCTTCCCCATCCTGCGCTTCTGTCACGCCCGTGTATGTTATTTTTGCTGTGCCCTTCTGAAAAGTTGTTTTATATTGACTCTTATTTCTGCCTTCTGCATTTTACTTTACGATTTTTTTTTAGTGTTCAAACATTTATTTTTCTCAAATTTTTAGAAACTTGATTGTTAAAACAGACTGAGTACTTCTCATAAAGTACAAAACAAGGTATTTGTAGAATAGCTCTTTATTGTTTTAAAGTTGCTGCAGTTTTTAAAGAAACATAATCTAAGTGAATGTGTTGGGAAGATTTGCTTGGGATATTTCCTTGAAGGCTTATCCCAATATTAAGCAAATATTTACCTATTTTTTAGGTTTTCTTCAGGTTTCAATTTTTACTTTCAAATCTTTAATTTATTTTGGTGTGAGGTAGGGATTTAACTGTTTTCTTCCTTCCAGATAGATAGCAGTTGGCAAGGTGCCCCAGCGTCATTTGCTGAATAAGCCAGCCTTTCCCCGCAGATTTGGTCAACCACCTCCAAATCCTAGCTCCCAACACCCGGCACTCATGGGGTTCGCAGCTCAGCAGACCTCAACCACCCTGAGTTTGGACTTGCGGTGTTCTTGGTGGCCTCGGCCTTCTGCGTGGTGGTCCTCTGGTCTGCCAGGCTGATACCAGCAACATTTCCAGGCTTTTCTATGCATCAGAGAGCTGTTATTTAAGTACTTTGGTTTTTTGCTCATGTTTGATGAAAATTAATGGAAAGGGGAAGAAAATCAAGGTGTAGATACTTGAAATAAAAAGTAGCCTTTATAAATATGATGCAGGTAGAAATCATGTGGGCTCAACACAGTGACAAGCCTTTCCCCTCCACTCTGTGTGTGCTGGAGTCAGCCAAGGCATGACAGTGGCAGAGAGAAGCCATGTTGAGAACACAAACATAATCGTGGCAGCGAGCTACCTACCCCTGACGTGGTGTAAGCAGGAGAGGGAATCCCTAGCCTAGGATGGTGCCCAGGCGTCCTAATGGCCGTGAAACACCTGCCCAAGCAGAATGGGGCTGTGGACATCCCTGCTTTGGTGCCTCAGCCTGCCGCCCTTCTCCTCTGCGTGCTATGATTTACTTCTGTGTGAGCTGTGGTCAAACTCATCCTGACACCTAAAAACAGAATTTAAAAAATGCGAAAGAGAAAAAGCCACTCAGTTGTTTTTCAGTCCAGCCCATGAGTCAGTAACCCCATGTCCTCTCTCAGCCCCACGGGCAGAACAGCACCAGGTGCTGGTGACTTTGGCCATGGAAATACCCCCCTGCATTGCTCCTCTGTCCCTGCCACTGTCACCACCCTGGGCCTGGGACACCTGGTCCCTGCCTGACCCTTCTGTGGCCTAGCAAGTAGGCTGTCCACATTCACTCGTCTTGACCCCGTGCTGCAGCTGGAACCACCATTGACAGATGGACGTCCGATGGCATTGAACCCTCGGATTACCACCCTCACTGGTACCCCGACATCTGTGTGGTGCCCACAGACCCTTCAGTGCCCACCTCAGCTTTCTGCGTGGCCCCTCACACTGGCCAGCCTCCTCCCCTCATGCACCTTCCCACCTGGGAAGTGCCCTCCAGCCGCAGAGGCACCCCTGCCTCCCTCGGGCTGCTTGCTCTGGGCCAGGCCGTGCCCCCCGCTGCGCCCTCGTGACGCTGGAGGTGCGGGCACTCCCTTGGCTGATAGCCAGGCACTACAGCTGTACTTGGTGAGCATCTGTTTACCCCGCTGGCCTGTGGGCCCCATGTGTACCAGGAACACACCCATTTTCCCCCATCATTCTCTTTCTGGTGCCTGGCACAGAGGAGTTCTCAATACACACTTGTTAAACGTTCTCTTTTGCCCTGTTGGCAGCCTAACCTGACGAGCAGGATTTCATCAAGAATTTTTTTTTAACATTGATAAAATTGGTCCAAAAATACATTTATTTTGTATTTTCACCTATAGATGTACCAGGCCCATGATTTTAGTGAAGTATGTTTTCTGCAGAACATTGTCATTTGCCTTCACAGTGGTCTTTTTGTCTGTCTCACTTGGCATCTGATTCCCAGAATTGCATAGGCTACACTTCCTAGAAGATGCCCATCTGTCCGGGCACCTTTTCTGTTTCACTGTATGCCTCTAGCATTGCATACATAGATGGTTCTCAACATATGCTTACTGGTGGGTTGGTTATGTATTATTTTAATTTGAAAAGCACGTGATCACAATATGCAGTTTTGGAGAAAAGACAAAAATTTGTGACTCAAATACCACTGAAACACAGCTGCTGTTACAATTTCAGTACATTACCTTTTGGTCTTTTTATATGCATTTAACATTGCCATAATCATAGTGAACATAAAATTTTGTGTCCTGTTGACTGATAATTATATTGTGTATGACATGGAAAAATGAGCCTCATTTGTTCAGTTCAATTCACTGAGCATTTAGCAAAAACCACACTACGCCAGGCACCATTCTACATGCCTAAACCATTTAGAGAATATACACAGATGTGGTATTTTGAGTATCTAATAAAAGAATACCATGGTTCTGAAGATTTTAGTGACATTTTTACTTCATGGAAATATTAACTTTGTATCATGTCATCATCCCAAAAAAGAGGAATATGGAAAATTTTTCTATTTTCATTTGTTTAATAGCCTCTCTCTTTATATATTCAACACATTTGTTATGGCTCACCATGTGCAGGCACTAATGCATGTACTGGAGATACTGCAATGAAGCCAGCAAGTCCCTGTGTCCGTGAGAGGAGACAGGCAAGAATGAATGAGTGAATGAATGAAAGCAGTGATAAATAGAGAAGGGAAAAATCAGGTGAGAGGAATGGATAGTGGTGTGGGGGAGGGGCTGCTCCCTACAAGGTCAGGGAGGGCCTCTGATGGTGACATTTGAGCAGAGACCTTGGTAGAGCAAGGGGTGAGCTATGAGCTATTGGGAGTCTTTCTGACTGAGGGACAGCAGTTACAAAGGCCCTGAGGTGAGCTGCGTGGTGTTCTCCGGGAGCAACAGGGAGCCACTGAGGGAGAGGGTGGGTAGCAGCTGAGGCCAGGAGCTGGGGTGGGGCCCTGCAGACCCCAGAGGTCTTTCAGGCATTCCTCTATGGGAGATGGGAAGCATGGGAAAGTGGGGTGCACTACACCCTCCAGCCTTCTCTGTTCCTCTGCCAGGCCCTGCAGCTCCTACCTCTGTTACCCTCTGGATAAGTCACTTTGTCCTAGAACCTGGAAACTTTCTTTTAGACACATGACTGTGCTCATGACGTGAAGTGCTCGTCCTTATGAGTAAATGCAGGTAGATAATGAGCCACATCCTGTGGCGTCCCTGAGTCCCACGTGCTTATTAAACTGTTGCAGGAAATCAGGCGCACCTCACACTGAAAAACCTAACTTGGCAGTTCTGATTTCTTTATCTTTTGTTCCCTTGAGGGAATTTTTTTCTTTCTGGCAATAATGACCAAATGTATATTTTTCAAATTGTGTAAAAGCACACCCTATTAAGGCTTCCTACCATTCTGGAATTGTAGAGCATGTGACAGTCTTTTATTACTGTAAAATAATAAAGAAGTTACAGTTGTAAACCTCTGACATTCTAGAAACCAGCTGTTTGTGGGGGGCAGTGAACCTTGTTATAACCTTCCTTGAGTTGCTCTACAGTTCGGTCTGCCAGAGGCCGAAGTTAGATCCCATTAGTGGGCTTAAAACATCCATTTCTGAAAGAACAAACTGTGACAGGTTGCTGAGGGTAATTGACTTCTTTTGTTTTCTTGCTGTTACAGGAAGAGACATCACAGCTTTCCCAGATTGGGAGGAAAAATATGGAATGTGTTTTACCCCTGACTGAACACAACCAAATGAACTGCACAGACAGTAGTTTGAAAACCAGCAGTTAGCAGTTTGTTCAGCTCCAACATCACCCAGCACTTTCCAGAGCAAACTCCCTGTGTACAAGAACTGTCGGCCTTCTGACGCTTATAACCTCAAGTTCTGTTCATTTAAAATATTTCTGCAAAAGAGAAGCACCAGGAACTCACGTTCTGAAATGGCCATGGACGAGTATTTGTGGATGGTCATTTTGGGCTTTATCATAGCGTTTATCTTGGCATTCTCTGTCGGTGCAAACGATGTTGCCAATTCATTCGGTACTGCTGTGGGCTCTGGCGTGGTCACCCTGAGGCAGGCGTGCATTTTGGCATCAGTATTTGAAACCGCCGGCTCGGTGCTGTTGGGAGCGAAGGTAGGAGAGACCATCCGAAAAGGCATCATTGATGTGAACCTCTACAACGAGACGGTGGAAACGCTGATGGCCGGGGAAGTGAGTGCCATGGTCGGTAAGTGGTGCTGCCCTGCACACAGTGGGCAGGCATCCCCCACCTGCTTCCCCATCCTGCGCTTCTGTCACGCCCGTGTATGTTATTTTTGCTGTGCCCTTCTGAAAAGTTGTTTTATATTGACTCTTATTTCTGCCTTCTGCATTTTACTTTACGATTTTTTTTTAGTGTTCAAACATTTATTTTTCTCAAATTTTTAGAAACTTGATTGTTAAAACAGACTGAGTACTTCTCATAAAGTACAAAACAAGGTATTTGTAGAATAGCTCTTTATTGTTTTAAAGTTGCTGCAGTTTTTAAAGAAACATAATCTAAGTGAATGTGTTGGGAAGATTTGCTTGGGATATTTCCTTGAAGGCTTCTTTCTATTTTTTATAGGTTTTTCATAAGATGTTATGTTTTAAAAAGTTGGATTTCAATAAAACAGTGTTTATTAACTTAACTTTTGCATTCTCGGTTTAAGTTTTGAAGCCATTACCAAATGAATTTTAAGCACTTGTGTTTCACAAAATTCTGATCTTCTACGTTAGGTGTAGTCCTTCTGTTAGCGTTAGTTTTGATTTTCTGATTTTACCTCAAGGAGCTCCATTTGGGAGTTTGTTTTGTCTTCCGACCAGAAAGTCATTTGTGTGTCACCTATTTACAGTGGTTTCAAGCTTTCTGGGCACGTTGGGGCAGTGGAGTAAGTCAGTAAGCAGACAGGCTGGTTGGACGCGTGACCTGCTCACTGCCCGACGGGGTGACCGTCGTCTGGAAGCCCCGTGAGGCGCGTCCCTCTGGCCTTGCCCCGGCTGTAAGGAAGGCCCAGGCAGGAACGCCGTAAGCGCTGCAGATGGGCTCGTTCTCTGCTTGCCTCTACATGCGCTGGGGTAGCAGAGCACTGATGTCGCAGCAGAGCACTGGCGGAAGGGGCAGTTTGGTTAGGGACAGGAGGGCAGAGAGGGACTCCATCCCCCGCCTTCAGCAGGACACATCCTTCGTAGGAAGGGTCCTGTAGTAGGAGCTAAGGCGCTGGTGCTCGGAGAACACAGCCGCAATCCCACAGGACCCTAATTACTTACCTCCCTAGCATTTCCTAAGCACCCAGAATGTGGACATTACTTGCCAAATCTAAGAAGGCCTATCATCTTTCTGTTGCAGCAAGTTAGCCCGAGAAGTTGTTGAGGCATCTAATCCAAAACAGACTGATGTACTAAGGCATTGAACGCTGAGCACAGCGGGCTGTGGTAGCTCAGAGTTCCTATTTCACATTGTGACACTTGTCCTAACTCCCCCAGCTGTTATGATGGCTGGGTTTTACCTACCTACATGGAACAAATATATCTCATCATAGATATCATTGAAGTCTCCCTTAGAAAAATAATAGTGGCTTGCACAATTCACCCTTGACGGCCAGATTGATACCTAAGCCATAATCATATCAAGCTGAAATCTAGATTTTTCCATTTAGGATGATGCACGCAGAATGTGTAGAAACTGAGGGAGAAATAAAGAACACGGATAAAGTTAAATCCAGACAGGAGCTGCTCCGTCGGTTGGATGGAGCTTTTGAGGAGAGGTGGTGCTTATGAAAGATTTGTCCATGAGGCCACACAGCCCCTGGCCAGACGGGAGGCCTGCGAGCTGGGCCGGGTCCCTGCCGACTCTCAGCATGGACAGCATGACCTGTCCAGCGTCTCAGATTTCCCACCTCCAGCTCTTTCCCAAAAGAAGGGAACTACTCAGCTAACCCAAGCAGGTTGGGGTCTCGGGGAAGCAGCTTGGTTCTGTTTCTTTTGCTTTGGCTCCTTGTTCTTCCTTCCGGTGTGTGGTTAGATGAATCTCAAAGCCTTTTTGTTGGGAATTTGAGTCACCTAGATTTTTAAATCGGCTTCCTTGCCAGTGGGAGCCCCATAAATTTAGGTGGTGTAATGATTATCGGCTAACCCAAAGCTCGTTCCGTTCAGATGCCAAATTCTCCACATCGTCTGCTTCCACATTCCACATCCCTTCCTTCTCTCCTTCCCCCATCCTTTTATTCCTTTTTTTTTTTTATGGTTTCCCATTTGCCAATGGTTGGTTATATATATATATATATAT